TATAGATATATATAGATATAGATATATATAGATATAGATCTATATTTATATATAGATAGATAGATGGATAGATATAGATATATATCGGTGTGCAATGATTACATAGGACTATGGAATGATAGTATGGAGAGCAGAATATTTCACCTGCTCATTCTGAGTCTGATGAAGGGGTACCCTTGAGGCCCCGAAAGCGCTTGTAACTGAATGGCAATTTGTCATTAAATGGACTTTTGCTGAATTTTCTCATTGGTGTGCTGGTGACAATTTTTGCTACTTTTGTGTTGTTCACGGTGCCGCCCGTGGTCGCTGCAAACACCCCCTGCTTCTGCAGGTTTACTATTGTTCCGGTAAGGAGTGCAGCTGGTTACCTACTCCATCACATTGGAATTGGAGAGACCATGAAAATCGCAATAGTGTGCAATCTAAGGACTTCACTGCTTCTATATTTCTTGTGCATACACAGCACCATGTATAAAATATTAAACCTGTTTGTAAAACCTGTTGTGCTTCATTAGAAGACTTCATTGGGGGCACTGAGATAGTAGTGTCTGAGCAATGGGACTTTTCTAGTGGACTGGAGCTCAATTCTTAACTTATATTTATTTTTATACACAAAGTAAAAGATATCCTGTAATTGCTACGCTGAGATGTGAATGGGCCGCCTAACCTGGACTTGGGAGTTCAGTGATCTTTTACACTTGTTCAGTCTTTGTGTATGTGATAGACTATGGAATCCAGCACTTAATTGAACGATGCAGTCCTCGGATGAGGAACTTACTTGGCTCTACTAGAAAGAATATTGGGAGCAGCTTAGAAAATCTGCTATTCGGCTCTATGCTTACAAATCATCGGTGAAATAAAAATGATCATTTACTGTTATTGTCATCTGATTGTTTGTTTCTCTCCCATCCTCCTCCAGTTACGGGAGGCATCACAGAGGAGCAGTTCCAGACTCATCAGCAGCAGTTGGCGCAAATGCAAAGACAGCAGTTGGCTCAGCTACAACTGAAACAGCAGTCCCAGCAGTCGTCGCAGCAGATCCATCCAAAAGCACAGGTACGTGGACATTTATCAGTACGCTGCCTGCTTTATCCTCGCTGCATACAGAGCTTTTCCTTTGTAAATGATCTGATCACTAAACATTTCTCTTTATAACGAACTTAAAGGGTTTCTAAACCCTCCGTTTTTTTTTGCATAGATCTACAGCCAGCAAATGACAGTACAAATGACAGCTGCCTCCTAACTTTTGAGTTTTTCTACGGTCTAGTCTTGGAGCTGGAAAAGTATCTGTACTTGTATGGAGTACGGTACTTGGTATCGGTGCATTTCTATATGTTATGGGGGTTTTTTTTTCTTTTTCAGGGCTCTGGGAATGCTGACTGCATGTCCAAGACACTGGACTCTGCGAGCGCCCACTTTGCTGCATCCGCTGTGGTCAATTCACCAACGCCAGGCCGCAGTGAAGTGACCAAGGATCAGAGTATTGGCCACAGCAACCTGAACGGTGTCGTACAACCTTCAGGAGGTACGTTCTAATCCCTGCAGTTATTTTTTCAAAGTATTTCAGTTTAACAACTTTGTCAATTGTAGAGAAACCTATGTTGTGTTCAGAAACCAATTCTCCTTCTATGGTTGTATAGATGCACAGTCTCTGGCAGATTTCTGTCTTTTTATAGCGTCCACTCAAGTAGCATAGTACTTCCTTATCTTTAAGGGAACATGTAGGGATGAAAATGTGGGAGCTGCCAGTATTGGTTTGTTTTTCCAAGGCACAGAATGGGGCTCATCATTCCTGATCAGTTCGATTTCCACAGATGTGCCTTGTGTCTTTCTAAAAAACACCAGTGGCAGACTCCATGTGGGGAATTTATCAAAACTGAAGCAGACTTAATCTGGAGCAGCTGTCGAGGGCAACCAATCATCTTCTCTCTTCAGTTTGTTCAGTTAGGATTTGAAAATGAGAGAAGCTGATTGGTTGCCATGCGCAGCTGCTCCAGATATTGTCTGCTCCAGTGGTGCTAAATTATCTTCCATGAATGTATTCTTGACCTGGGGGTGCTCTACCGTTCACCTCTATAGAACCTGTAATTGTGCATCGTACTGGTGATCTATGGACAAAGATGGGAGGGAAAGGAGGCTTAGTCCACATCATGGCTCTATGGGGGCTAACTTAAACCCAGTGCAGTACTGATTTTGGCCAAAGTCCTACTATCACTACAAATGAAAGTTATTTTTCATACCTTACAACATTGCCAGGCACATAATCTGTTTGTAGTCGGAGCTTTGACGCCTTTTGTTTTTTTTCTCCCTAGGGAACGCTAAAACGCTGTACTCCACTAATGTGGCACTATCGTCCGGCCCAGGGATCTCCACGGTTCAGCTTGTACGGACAGTGGGACATCCCACCACTAACCACTTAATACCAACCTTATGCACAAGTACACCCCAGACCCTTCCTATGAGTAATTCCTGCCTAACGAACACCGTTCACCTCAACAACGTCAGTGTTGTGTCTCCTGTCAATGTGCATATCAACACAAGGACTTCTGCTCCATCTCCCACAGCCTTAAAACTCGCCACAGTCGCTGCCAGCATGGACCGAGTGCCAAAGGTTACTCCAAGCAGTGCCATCAGCAGCATAGCCAGGTGCGTAGAATCGGTAGCTGGACACTCCTTGTTTATAAGGAGTCTCTCTTTATTTGCAGTGTCTTTTTAATATGGTAAAGCTGTTGTGTGGGTGCGCATGCACATTTAAATCATTTATCCTGCCAAAATATTTGTCATTCTGTTCAGCCGCTCTTCTAATTTTGCATACTCCTGCCACACGGTATAGACAGGATTATACCACCATTCACAACCCTGAGCTGTGCAGCTTCATTTGTCCCCCCTTCAGCTCCTCCCTGCTCTTTGTAGCTTTGTGGATACTCCCCGGCGTCCTTGGTTCGAATATCAGCTAGGACACAACCTGCATGGAGCTTGCATGTTTGCTTTTTTTTTTGTGTGTGTGTGGGTTTCCTCACACAGTCCAAAGACCTGCTTGTAGGTTAATTGGCCCTAGTATGTATGCATGTGAAATAAGCTGGCCATACACTGTTATATGTTTTTAATACCTGTTGCACTGCGCTTCACTGTGTTTAAATTAATTTCCAATACTAAACTAGGTTGTCTTCCCACCATAAACAATAGTGCAAAACAGTGTATACCTTTTACACATAGAAGGTCATAATTTCATACCATAAATAAAACATTTTCTACTGATTGTGTTTCTTCTACAATCCCAAACAGGTATATTCCATAATAAGCTGATTACCTAAAAAAACTGACCTACTGTGAAGTTAACAAATTAGAACACCCCTAGTGAATCGTACATTATTTAAGGTGAAACATTTTAAAAGTCCATTTCCATATGCATGTGATCTTCACACCGCAAGAACAAATCTATTGCGTTTCCACACCACCTCTGTCCTTCAATCAAACATCCTCACTCACCGGATATCTATGGCCACATTATTATACTGTATATAGGCCATATACACTTTGATCGGGGAGTTTAATTCAGATGGTCTCCACCGATCCTGTCCCACACACTTCCAGTCCTATGGCTTCACTGAACTTCCCTTCTTATGCCACATATCTTTTAAAAAACTTTTAAATTTAACTTTAAAGGAGAACTATGAGGTGAGTGCTGTTCACTCAGCTCATAGTTCTAGCCGACCTGTGACAATGAGACTGTCACAGGTCGGCTCAGTAGATCGGGAGGTGAGCGAACACATACCGGCGTTCGCTCGCCTCTCGATCCTGTCACAGCTCTCTGCCGTGACAGGGGAGGGGCTGGATTCCACCCGCTCCGATCTGCCAGCGCTGACTGGCGGATTGGGCGGGTACAGCTGGCTGCCTCTAGATAGCAGAGCCAGCTGTCACTCACGCAGCTGGGCGGATCCAGACATAATTGTCGGGATCCGCTTCAGCTGCGGCGTCTCAGTATACCGCAAGCTATTTGTGTCCTCTCGTTACCCTAAGGAGAACTATGGGGAAAAGCCTTAACCCCATAGTTCTTTTTTTAAAATGCACTTACAGTGTTGTCGGAATAACAATTCTTTTAGTTGAAGCCTGTTAATATGTTGGCTGAATGAAAACAATATAACAGATTCCTCCATCCACGCTTGACTAATCTCCCGGAATACTCTGACAAAATGAACAAAGTAAATTTAAATAGTACAATAAATACTCTGTTTCAATTTATATTTATTATTTTCAACATAGACAACAAACATAAAAACAAAACCTAGATAAATAAATTTAAAAAATCTATACATCATTCCATAAACAGCACTAAGGGACTTCATATCCCTTTCCAATTCTTCAATCCTGATTATTTGATGGTTATCTCCATAAACTTAAACCTTTACCTTTTTATATAGTGATCTAATAAAAAACTAAAAAGCAACTCCCAACCTGGTCATCCAATATTTTAAATATAAACAAAACAACAGAATTACAAACTTTAGCTTGATGTCACAGCTACCAAGGAAACTATACCATGTGTTGTTTCTGAGAATGATTCTAATAGATCTATGAATACCTGAGAATCTTGAAATGCCTTCCACTCATTCCACATAGCCCAAAACTTTTCACAATAAATACTCTAACAGTGACGGCAGCTCATTGGCTGTTCCAAAGAACCGGATAATAAACCTTTGGGCGAAGGATGGAAGGGTGCTGATGGAGACACCTACTGTACGAATTTCATCGAGAAGCGGCTGCAGTTTGCACAGTGTATGACCATCTTTAGATTGTTAGATGCTTGAGGGCAGGGAGTGTTGTGAATGTGCAAGTATGTCAATTGTCAGTTCTGTAGAAATGCCTGTAATACGTAAATAAACTGTTGGGACAGCTACTTATTTCACATGGCATCTCTCTGCCGCACGCAGTGGTATCAGAAAATATTGATCCGTTCAAAAATCAATTAGATTCCATCATAAGAGACGACGGTAACATACAGGGGTACAGGTTCACTTAAATACTAGACCACACAGGGACTCTTATACAAAAACATGCACGCACAAGACACGCATGCATGTACAAGAGACACGCACACACACACAAAGGTTGAACTTGATGGACCCGTGTCTTTTTTCAACCTCAAATACTATGTAACTATGTAATGCTTGACTGTCTCTGAGCCAATAATAGTAATCAACATTCCTGTTTTCTCTCCTTGTTTTTTTTTCCCCCAGAGAGAACCACGAGCCGGAAAGATTGGGTTTGAATGGGATCGCAGACACAACAGTTGCAATGGAGGTGACATAACTTCAATGCATGGACTTGGCCTGACTGTTCAGGCTTTACCTTTCCACGGAAAATGCAAAGCGCTACGCTCTGCAGATCAGAGCGCGCTAACATGGACCTAACCACGGACTGTGTATGGGACGTCTTCCCATTCCACTCTTATGTACATTTTGTAAAATCGGATAAAATCACTACCTTGTAAAATAGTTTATTTGTATCATCCATATTATTTCTGTTACTTGAATAGTTGATATTCATCATCATGCTTTTGCACTTGAATTTGCAACTGAATGGATATAAAAAAAAAACTACAAAAAAAAGAAAAAACAAATCTTTAATGGGATCATGAGCATGAAATGGGGTCCTGCATCACTTGTTTTAACTATTTATTTTGCCATGTTTACATTTTGTATCTTGTACAAATAAATCCAACTTTGTGTCTGAAGCAAACGTCAAAGTGGGCCCATTTCCTGTACACAGAGGAGCAGCCATTTTTTATTTTATTTTTTTATATTTTAAATTATTTTTTTTTGTGGCTGAGCCAATAGCCATCCTTTTC